CTCTCCGCAGGAAAGTGAATAAGCGTATTTCCCAAAAATGTCCAACAATTCCTCTAAAAACCAACCCCATCAAGTATGAAGTAAAGACGTGCTCTGGATTAGGTTCACAGCGTATTGCTCAACATTTCGATTACATTAATTCCTGCTTGCTCAGTGGATTCAAAATAGCTATGAATTGAGAGCGCAGGTGTAACACAATCCTCCTCGACTGCTGTCAAGTCATGTCAGAACGATGTGGTGTTTGGTCTCTGCATTGTGCCAGAAACCTTGTTACTGAGCCGCTGTGTTTCTTTCTTTTTTTTTCTCACATAAATACACGTGGCTGATGGTGGAAGTACAGTAATTTGTCTTGTCTGGTGTGACTGTTCTTGAACAGATTTATGGAGGATGGTAGCTTTAAAGACAGATTATATGACGGAGGAGAAACCTGAGCCATCAGGGCTCATACCAGGATGGTTTATGAGATGGATGGCTCACATGATGGTGTATGCTAAAGAGTGTGGGGACAAACACGCGCAGCTTGTTTGGTACTTTTAAATGACTGATAAGCTGGTGGCAGCATTTTGCCAGGAGCTGTAGAGCTTTGCTGACTTTTTTAGATTGTATACTCCCTGCCCTAAAGTTTCTTAAACAGACACAATGAGACAAGACAGAGGAGCGACTGGAAGAGCAGCAACATTGAAAGGAATTTGGTTTTCAAGCCAATATACTCAGGAGGAAAGGATATTAGCATTAGCATGCTGCACTACCATGACGCCTCAGTGGGATGCAAGTGTTGACATGTGATGCAACCCTGGACGATCTCCACTCTGCCCTGGTGTAAAAAGAAAAATCTACATTGAAAATCCTAATTACCATATGAATGAGTGTCAACAGGAATGTATGGCACACAGCAAAAGATTCCCTCTGAAGGAGGGGGGGGGGTCTAAAACTCTGTATACACAACAAAAGTGTTGTCTGTATGGAGGAGAAAACTAGCTGGTGTGTGTTTTGCACTTATCAAAAGAGGAGCCTCTATGAAGGAAAAGGAATTTGGGGAAATAAAAGGAAAGCCTATGGGAAAGTGGATCAAGTGTTTTGTCTTAAGAGGAGAAAACGATTCAGCCACTCAGAAGATTTAGACATGAATATAATTGGGTTTACTGTCAGGCTCACATGGCGCAGGTTCATACCAGCACATCCAGGAAGTAAGCTGTTTTCTTTATAAGTTTGCATTTCTTTCAGCACCTCAGACAAAACCGTAACGCTCCTCCCCATCCACCTCTCCCTCTCTGCCATATCCTCTTCGTTTTCTCACACGGATGTGCAGCCTTGTACTATGTGCTCTGGCCATCTGTTACCTTCAGGTCAGGGCTGTGAGTTTTCCGTGCACTGAGCACATCATCTTCATACCACGACGGCACAGGCTTTGTTAGCTCTGTTACGAGATTTTAATCGATGATTTTTTTTCTTTGGCTGTGTGTTGTGTTTATAGGCAACGAGTTGGTACTTCTGAAGGTCATCAGTCTCTCACTCTCACCCTGGATATACACCCAGGAATGCAACTAATGATTATTTTCATCATCTGTTAATCTGCATATTATTTTCTCAACTAATCACCTGCTTGCTTGATCTTCAAAATGTAAGAACATGGTTAGAATTGCACAACATCATTTCTTGAAGCTCAGCGTGACGTCTTGAAATTGCCTGTTGTGTTCAAACCTTGCAAAATATCCAGCTTTTAAACAAGACAAAGAAAAGCAACAAATACCCAAAACTGAGAAGGTCTTTACATTTTATTAACTGATTATCAAACTGGTTGATTTTCTGATGACTGACTAATAGATGAATTGCTGAATCATTTCAGTTTTCACTATTTCCCCTCCACAAGTATCCTAATGGTTAATTGTTGATAACGGCATTAAACAACCCTGTTTCCTCTCTCTTAAATGCTCCCCCTTCTCTTCAAGCTTTCGTATTCTTCCTGCCTGTCTCAAGAAAATGTCTTTATAATTGAGTATTTCAGTTAACGCTCGAGTCGAGATTCCATTATCTGTTTTTCATCAGGCTGAATGTTCTGCAGTACGAACATTGTCTGCCATAATCAAATTCCACTTAAAAAGTAATGAAGGGGAGCGTTGCTGACACACTGAGAGCAGAACGTTTGACTGCATTGAAAATGGCTAAAATCTCATTTAATAAGTCAAACCAGCGGCCTGCTGTTGCTCGGGGAAGGTGTTGCTCCGGTGAAAGAGTGTCACACCGGTGAAGCTGTAAATCTGGAAGCTGTGGTCTGGAATGCTGTTCATGTCAGAACTTGCTTCCTCTTCCCGTTATGAAAGACCCCTCAAAGAAGATGGCATGCTGACAACAGCTCCGCGCACAACCATCTCACCTCTGTTCGGTCTCGCGTTACCAGGCCGAGCGTTGGCGGCAGGGTCTGCTGTATTTTTGGCGTTGTCTTATGGTCTTAAAGATCTTTCCCCTTCCTCCCAAAAAGGTCTTCCTTAATTGATATCATGCTTGTTTCCTGCCTGATTCCTTCGGTTTATTTCATTCCTCCTCATCCACAAGTGTCAGACAGTTCATTTTTGTTAGAAAACAATTAGCGTCTATCTCTTAAATGTTTCTTTTTTAGCTTGGCTTGTAGTGTCTGTGCTTATATGCGTTTAAATTTAGCATCTTTTTTATTTTAGTTATCCCCCGATATACACTCAGTTGCCAGTTTATTAGGTACGCTTAGCTAAAACTAATGCATAGGCCTGCAGTAAACCCTACCTTCTTAAAGGCTATAATTCCCCCCTCGTGTTGTTTCAAACAGAAGTAAGAGCTCTGCTTGTAGACAGAGTTTAGAGGGTTACAAGGAACTACCAGGCCAGAACAGCGGAAAACAAACCATGGTAGATTATTATAGCCTGCCAGCTCAGGCCTACACATTAACTCGTGGGACTCTGTATAGAGCCAGAAACATGCTTTTCTCCTTCACTCAGGAGTCGGCATAAGCTAAAGCTGCTGAGCTCCAGGTCCTCAAACACAACATCAACCCCTAATCCGGGCTAATGCAAACACGATGCTGGGTCAGGTCATACAAACACATTTCAGGCTGGAAACCTTCTGTAAATTAAACAGAAGAGAAAGGAAGAAATACATAAAGATGTGCTTTATATCGTGGCAGTGTTGTGGTATGTTTGAGTGTTCAAATCAAACAGGCGACAGAGAGGCTGTGATTGGTTGTTTTTTTTTGTTGTTCAGCCTGTTTGCTATTTCTTCACTGTGGAGATCAGGGATGCCTTTAAAGTGGCCCCTGTTCCAGCCACTGAAAGCTGTTTTATACACTCAGCGGCTTATATAATCAACTGGAACGCAGAGGAATGGCATCCCTAACAGAATCAGTTTCATCCCACTTCATATCATACTTGTCATATTTCTCTAGTGGAAAAAAAAAAAAAAAGTCAAGCTGCAAGTAGAGGAACAAAGTTCAAGACTTGTTTTGTTGTGGTGAGAGGAACTACAAAGTTGGTGTTTATGGGATTTTGGGGCGGCAATTATTGCGAGTCGACCATTGCTTTATGAAGTTGCCTTATAGATCACAAGGAAGCCAGAGAGGCTGGGTGACTTCCAGGGAAAAGTAAATCCCAGTGGAGCCCCCTGCTCTCTCTGTGCCGCTTTTGTCAATGAAAGCGACCAAGCAAAAAAGTACCTTCGTCTCAATCTACTGAGTAGATGTTATGTAATCTGAAACCATGTGATTTTTTTTTATGTAGCCTACCTCTTTTCTACTCCCCTGGACTGCTATGGATTAATAATACAAGAAAAACCCTGTTGTGGTTCATTCTGAGTCATTCACACTTTTTAATGGCACAGTCACGCAGACACATACTGGATGCCCTGTTTTCAATTTCTATTCCGTAAACTGAAAATATTCCGACCTCTATAATTTGGTGGATGCAGCCTGGCGCGCATGAAAATGCATTTCCTTGAGGAAAGGAGAAGTTGTCATTATGGCATGTGGAGGGGCTCGTCTGGGAGCTGCTGAGGATCAAAACAGTCTTTTACATGAGTCTGCTGTACATGTTAGAGCAAGACCCTGCCCTCAGCACCTCGCTCTCCCTGTCACACACACACACACACACACACAAGCACACACACATACACATACATGCATTGAGGTTGTTTTTCTCTGCCTGCATCTGCTCATCAGCAAAATAAAAGCACGTCAGATGATTTGCAGAGGTTGCTTTTTGATTATGAGTAAACGTCCACAAACGCATCAACGCGCTTGAGGCAACGCAGGCGCTCTTTTGTTGCGTTATGTTGCATCTCTATTATTTGTCCTCTTTCACTGTGCGCATATCGCCACCGGCTGTACTTTTCGTCAACCCCCTCACACACCCTCCCCTCTCTGCTCTATTTTCACAGTGGAAATGCCAACTCTTTTTTTTTTTTTTTTTTTTTTTTCCAAGTTGCCGTGATGGAAGATATGTGTGCTCAATCCCTCTGTCTCCCTGTGATCTCTTTTGAATTCAGAGCCCACATATTCCTGAAGGTGACCCCCCCCGAAATGGGATGTCAATGAGGAGGAAAGGGGGAAGGTGCACCCGGGGGGCCTGCAGCGGAGTGATTGAAAGTTTGACTTTGGCCAAATAAAGTATATGACATATGGCATTACATCCAAAAACATGTCACAATCAGACGAGACAAGGCAGAGACGAGGCTTTTTCGGTGACTTTAAAAGGCAGTGACAATGAATGAGATACTCTATGAAACTTAGCATTACGTAGCATTGTTCAGTATTTCGACACCTGTGGTTTCTTGATACAGATGTTTTCTTCAACCTGACAGGACACAAATAGCCTGAGATTAATCATCAGATTCTGTTGAATTCAGTTCAGCATGTAAATGATGGTGATCATGGTAATGATTAGTTGCTTTTTAAGGCCAATCAAATGATTTTTTTTTTAGTGTCTCCTGGCGTGAAGTTGTTACGCTCACATTCTTCTCTCTCTCCACCACTCCCTCAGCTTTCATTGAGAATGTCCAAACCCCCTGTGCTAACGGCCGCGAGGTGGGCAGAGCCACCGAGCCTTCATCATGGAAGCAGCCGCTCACCACCATCACCGTCTCCAAGAAACGCAACTGGCTGCAGCAGAGCTCCCTCGGGAAGAATCACTGCACCAAGGACGAGCAGCAGGGAATGCTGGGAGCTGAGGAGGAGGGTGGTCAGGGCTCCCATCAGCCTCCGCCTCCTCCCAGTCCCTCCCCAGACCACCTGAGACCCTTAAGGGGAGCCGCCCCGCGGCCGGTCCACCTGCAGCTGCCTCAGGTTAGCTATGAGATCTCTCTGTTTGCAAGGCTGAGGTTTATGGAGGTAACACAACATCCAACACAGTGGTTGTTGTATTTCAGTTCAGCATCATGCTTTAAACTTTGGCTCCTTCTTAATGTAGGTCGGTCAAGCCAAGGTGTCATTTCACCCTCGGAGCGTGGACCCAGCCGAGGAGAACGACGCAGACGATGAAGGAGAGATCTGGTACAACCCGATCCCGGAGGACGACGAACCGGAGACGTCTCACCGACCCTCCATTCGGCTGCTGGTCCCCCCTCGAACGGAGCCCGAGAGGAGGCCCAGCAGGGGAGGAGGTGATGTGGGTCACGGCAGCAGGGCCCTGGATGGCAGCGGAGGCACGGGGCCGGAGCCTCTCGGCGAAGGCCTCGGTGGCGGTTTAGGAGATGGGAGTCAGGGGAATGCTGCACATTCCACAGAGGCGCTACATCTGCACAGACAGATGCTCGCGTGCAAACCTCAGGAGGAGGGTGGGCCTTCCACCAGCAGAACCACAGGTGAGGCAGAAAAAAGAAAAAAAAGAAAATGAAAGGCACCCACACCTTCTCTCATTCTTCCTTTCCTCCGCTTCCTGCTTTCTTTCCACTTCTTCATTCACTGTTTCTCTTACTCTTCTTTCGGCCCGATGCTCGAGGGCCAATCATTGTCTGGCGTTTTGTCTCTTAGCCAGTCACTCTGGGCAGATTTTTGTGGTTGTGCACACCTTGAGCACTAATTACAGCTAGTGTTTAAAATGTTTCCAATCTAAGGACTTATTTAGCTGCAAGTCATTCCTGGGTTATCATAGCTTCTCTCACAAATATAGAAAGCATTTAAGAGTGAGGTTGAAGATAATAGAAGACTGAAAACAGAGTTTGGCTCAGTTTAAAATCCAAAATTCCTCTTGAAATCTATAAAAAATATACTGTAGCTGTACTAGCTCAGTTTTGTTTGATCGGTGCAGAGAGGAGCCATAGCTGTCGAATCATATCGCTCTATATCACCGTCCCTCATTAGTTTAACTCAGACAGACATTAGCCAGGAGGAATTCAGAACTGGCATTCCTGAGAGGAAAGAATATCCATTTACGTGTGACTGAGGCTCACACAGATGGCTGTGAGCCTTGTAAATTGCTGGTTTTTTAGTCCTCAGTTGAATAAATGTCCTCTCACCTTGAAAGCTAGCTCATTAAAACTGCGCTCACGGTGTGTGCAGACACAAAAACACAGATTCGTGACCTGCTAAGTTTTAAGCAACATTACTGTGAATGAATTGGGGTTATTTTTTATTTATTTGTCTGCTTGGAAAAAAAAAAAAAAAAAAAAACTTGTGGACAACTCTGACAACTCTACAAAGACGGCATAATAATGACAGCCAGCACACGGCTCCCTGTCTCTTAATAAGCTTGGTCTGTCTTTGCTAACTTCCGACTTTTTGTTCTCTCTGATGTGGCAACATGGTAGTTTGAACCAAGTGGCACATCTTGAGCTGAGCCTATAATTACAACTTTTGACAACACTTCTGTGGCACGCAACAGCCATTCCTAGTTGTAGGAGCACAAAGCGAGGCTGAATAGTTTGGTTATGCTTAGTGAAATCTAATACGTGAGCTTTAGTGTTCACAGCAGCAGATTTACTGCAGGGATGAAGGCTTGAAATGAGCTCAGAAATAACTTCTTTCCCCTAAAATGGTGAAGGGTTTAAAAGTTGAAACCGCAAGTCATTGAGATATGTTGTTGAAAATAAAAGATTATGCTTTTGGCTGCAGTTTTCCCCTGTTTTAAAACAATCACTACATAGAAAGAAACTGTTTATCTTGTGGAGTGGAAAGTCTTAACTTGCCCTTGACGAGGACACAGGTTTGATTGGCGGCTGATAAACTCCTTGATCCTCATTGACTGGCTTCAAACTCCTGGCTCTCGCTGACATCACGTGTGGCTCAGCAAAACTCTCCGTCCTGAGAGACTTTCCTCGTAGGATTAGGATTAAACCGGTCCCCAATGAGTCTCGGTGTACTGGGCCAGGAAAGGCACTAATCATGGCGCACAGTGCTAATTAAATTTAGGCTATTTGTGCCTCCACAGTTTCAGACCTATTTTGCAGTCTAGATGAAATTTGCCAGTGTCATTAGGGTCTTTCATGCTGGGTAAGCAGATGAGTGGACAAAAATTGAGGGCCGGAGTGGCTCGTTCAGCAGTTTTAACGGAGGAGAAATCTTGTTCTCAGCTCCTGTGAAGGGCGAGTCTTATTTAATGTTCACTCAGCTGTCTGCCTTTTTCAAAACCGATTTGTTTTCCATCAGCTTGCTGCCATTCGAAGGCCTCATTTCCATCCTGTAATAAAAATTCTGTTGAACAGGAGCAGGTCTGTGATAGTGTGGGTTTACTGCTGCTCTGACTGGAAGCTGTGAAAGTGGGAGTAGCAGTGTTGTTTTTTTGTTTTTTTTTTCCCCCCTCCCGCTCCGGAACTGCCTCCCTCTCTGCTGCCTGTTGACTTTGCAATTGATTCCTGTGGGTTTGGCGACGCCATCCCACACTTCACTGCAACATAAAAAGAGCAACAAGCCCAGCTACGTGTCAGGGTTGTTTGTGTGTGTGTGTGTGTGTGTGTGTGTGTGTGTGTGTGTGTGTGTGTGTGTGTTGTAAATGCAGTGGGGACTATTAAATCAAAAGGAATGGTCGGCAGGTATAATATCACTTCACCCTCTTTCCACCTCAACCTTTAGAAATTACTGTGTGTGTGTCTGTGTGTATTGTTGTTGCTATTAACACAGTTTGTACTGGCTGCAGGGTGACACTGCACTCCTCCTCCTCCTCCTCCTCCTCCACTCCTAACTGGTTAGGAGTGTTGGGGGATGGTGAAAAGGACAAGAGCCTGCTGTGGGCATTCACTCCACTCAGCGTCCCATCCCTCCACTGCAGGGTCAACCTGGGCCTGTTTGGGGACATGGATTATTACTCAAACAAGATTTCTATGAGCCTTTCTCTTTGTTAGACTTTGATGGCCCTGCACCAGCTGATATAGACTGAAATACCAGATGGTTGATGAGCTGTTCACTCGCTGACTAAACATGTTCAGAGTGTATTCTGAACAGTCAGTAATCAGCAAAAGTGTAGCTACAGCTTGCTTCTTAAAAGTGTGTACAGAAATAGCAGAAGACGAAACTAAGCACACATATTTGTTGGTAGTAACATCACTGTTACCACCACAGCGTGCTGTATCTTTACCACATCTACAGTATGTGTGTTTAGGCTACCACATTATGGGTTGCCTCACCACATTATTGTAAATGCACCCGCGCCTCCTAGGGAATAATGGCCTTTGATCTAATCTTTGACGAAAAAAACATTAAGTGGAGCCACAGTGTTGAACTTCACTATTTTCGTCCCATCTTTTCTGCCATCTGTTTCTGACTCTTCATAAATGCGAGCTCATACAGACTCCACTTTATCTGCAAGACTAAAAATTTGACAGGCTTTTCGTTGATTGAGCACGAATAAGAGCGTCTGCTGAATTAATGAAGCAGTGCAGATGTAGATGACTCTCTGCGACTATAGTTTCCCTCTGTTCGGCTGGCTGGTTCTTTTTCCCTCACCGGATACACTCCAGACTCCTCATGTGCTGCCTATTGACTGACTTTTTGTCCATCTGAATGCTCTATTTGTATGGAGAATAATGATTGATGGACTTTGGGGGTGGTGAGCGTGGTGTGTTCCCAATCTCTTGTTCCCTTTAGTGCCTGTTTGGGGAATCTGACTTGGCCTGCGCTCAGAATGGGATCAGAGCTATTTCTGGGGGTTGTTTTGGTCACGCTGGCTGCCGCGCTGGAGAGTTGGCCCCTGGCTGCTAAAGTTACATGAGAGTTCAAGCCTCTGAGTTCAAACCTGGAATCTAATCTCGGCTGACGATTGCACGGTTCGGTCTGGAGGAAGTCAACAACTCAGAGGAGCAACATTGTGAGAACAGCACTTCAAAACCAGAGCAGATTCCTTAGCTTGGCACTAGATGTGAAGTTCGGGTCACATAGTTTTCTCGTGGCTCTTTCTTTCTGGTCTGTTCTTCATTTCATCACCAGAGCAGCTGTAGAAAACTGAAAAGTTTATCTGTGTGCACTAATGCAGGACCCTTCCTTACTATAACTGGTCGTACATGAATGGGAGGTCATGACTCACAGTGGTATCTGTAGTTAAGTTGTTGGACCATTTAATCCTGAGCAAGTGTTTGATGAGAGGGTTTTCCAGGAGTGGTTGTAAGCCCAAAGCTCTATTACCTATAGGGCTGCAACCAATAATTATTTTCATTACTGATTAATATGTTAACCAAATTGTAAAAAATACAAGAAAGAAATGCCCTTAATAACTTCCCAGAGACCAATGTCTTAATGTTGCTTGTTTTCGATATTCAGTTTACATTGATAAAAAGCAATAAATCCTCAGATCTGAGGAGATGAAACCAGCAAATACAAGGTTTCTCCCAGGAAATTAGACTATATTATGTGTGACGTTGCTATAAAACGCTGCAGTAAACCCTTGAATATCTGACGTACTGTATGTCCACTAGGGATGCCCCATGAAACGTGGTCCATGTGATGTCATTGATGTTTTTTTATGTTGATTTTTCTTTGCGTTTTAGATTTGTTTCAAGGACAATACTATTGGCTTCATATTGTCACTATGCTGTTGTAAACATAACTGTTGCTGCTGAAAAACAATACGTTCCAATACAGATAAATACGTATCCTGCTCTGAAATTATTTGTTTAAAATTATGATTTAAAAAAATGTTTTTTAATAATAAAATATAATTTAATAATAGTATCAATAAAGCACTGCCTGAAAATAAGTATCGATAAAATCCTAACAGTGCAGATGACAATGAATTCTTCACTCATTGTGTGATGAAGCAAGATTGATGTTTTTTTTCTGTTATTTAATGTTAGCAGAGCTACAAGGTAAAGCCATTAAATTAAGATTGTATCTCCATTGATTGTTTTGTACTGCAAATGTTTTTGATTGGTTTTAAGATAAAAAAGAAGTAATTTGTTAACACATGATTACGTTGCTATCGGTACCCTGTTGCGTGGACGGTGGAGGTGCAGCGAGGCCGAGGTGTCTGTCCAGAATTAGCAGCCACTCTGTTGCTTGAGTTACAGCAGAGCAGGAATGCCTCCAGCGGTGGGCGAGTTAAGACTACATGAGGGCTGCTTTGGCAGGGGGCCATGTTGTGCTAGTGAGAAGGCCTGCATGCTTGGATATATTAGCAGGGGTTTTGTAACCATTGTAATGAAACGGCCGGGCTCCCGCGGCCCCTGAAAGGCCTTCCGACGCTCAATGATTTAGAGCCGAAAGGAGAGGAAGGAGCACAGAGCCCAGCCTCGGTCACCGACTGAGGAAAACTACAGGACAAGTATGCCATTCACCCGTTTATTTACACTGCCCTTGTTTGTCAGCACACCCTGGACCTTTCTGTTTTTACATTTAACACACACATTTGGCAGACATGCTTGTACGGACACACACATACCACACAAGTGAATACAAGTGGTTTTACAGGGGTAATCAGGGACAGCAGATTATTGTCTCCCTTCAAGGCTTATCAGAGTTTACCCAATTGCTCTCACTCTTTCTCACAAACACACACACACACACACACACACATTGTCACATTGTATCCAAGCGTGTAACATTGTTGAATCTGAGGACATTTCACATTATCTGACTATTATTTATGTCTTGGCGTTGGCTAGAATGACGATTTGGCTCCTTGACTGCTCCTGCTGCAAGATGGCTGTAAAAATACTTATATTTCACATATTTCATAATGACTTTGTCACACATGCACATGCACGTGCACATGCACACACACACACACACACACACACCTTCCACCTTCCACCTGCACCTGCCTGGTGCCAGTGTTGTGAAAAGCCCTCGCCATAAATTCCTGGGCTTTGTTAAGAGGTGTCAGTGGCCTGGTGCCTGAGGAGGGTCACAGGGTCAGGGAGGGTGTGTGCGTGTGTGTTTGTCTTTATGTATGCATATTTACATGCACTCTCTCTTTGTGTTACGGTAATAAGGAGAGTGCATGTGCATGTTAAAGTGCTGGGGGGGTGGACAAAGTTGCCCTGCTCAGGTGTCACCCAGAGGAATGCAGACCTTTTGCCCTTTGACCCCCAGAACATGGCCCTGGAGGGTTGGGTGTCAAACCATCACCCCTGAACCTCAGCTAGTAAGGTGTCACGTTACTGTCTTGGCTGCTGCCACAAGTCCAAAGGCTACAGAGGACCCAGCTGCATGTGTGTGTTTGTGTGTGTGTGTGTGTGTGAAGCCACAGTCATTAACAATGCAACAGTCATTAATTCTGTCAGAGGCGAGTGGATGTTGCCCCAGCTCATGATGGTTATCAAATAGATGGGACAACAGCAGGTTATTTAGATGTTTGAAGGAGCATATCTCACAGAATGAGATAGTCAAGTAAATGGACATGAATTTAGGTCATAATTTTTTTAATGAATATAGTTTCAAACCGAGGTTGCTGTTTTTGTGTTATTCAATCTTTATAGATATTACATGTTGTAGGGGCTGACAATTTGGTTAAAACCAGTGTCACAATATTATTTTCACAATATTTTCCCTGCTATTGATACATGTCACAATGTCTATACCATCAAGTATCAAGCAGCGTGAGGTCATACTCCTAAGATGGTGCTAAGATATTTCCTGATCTAAATCAGGAAACTTTTGATACTTTAAGCTGCGTTTTATTTAAGCAATGTTTTTTTTTTTGCTGATGTGCTGAACAGTTAGGGTGTTTGTTCAATGAAACATAAAGGTAAAAACTTGCTTATATTCCCCCAGATATTGACAAAAAGTATTGTTTTGATTAGAAATTCAAGTCTTGTATTGGCACCAGTTTCCAGTCATAATCACAATATGGCAAATATGTGCAAAACACATAGAGAATAATAACATTAATGTTCAATACAATGAACTGTGTTCCCTTGTTATGTAATATCCCTTTCAAAATTCATCAGTTGTTGATTGTAATTGGCTGTAATTAAAGTCATTAATTTGGACAACAGAGTTTTGTAAGCAACATGATAAAGTTACGAAAGTAGAGAGACCATAACGTTGTCTGCTTCCGACATGTAGTGTTTTCACAAGAATTAATAATTGCCAGTATAAGCAAGAGACAGGAGCGTAGTAGCATCCTCTACAGTCACTTACAGCCTCTTTAAATGTGACGCTGTCTCACAGTCTGTGTACCGCATATGTAACTACTATTGAACACTGAGCAGCAGTTTTGAAAGTAACTGTTTCCTTCTCATTAGTACTGTAATTAAATACTCAGTACAATATGTCAAGAAAGGTTATATAAGAATTTAAAAATGAGTTCAACTGTGTTTCATGCACAAGGAATTTTTCTCCCGAAAACCTTGTTTCAGACCTGACCAGGCGCTCTCTGTGTACCCGACCCCACCCCAGATGTTGTTTGGTGAATTTGCACCTACAGTGCCCTCCACCCATTTTCTCCCTTCTCAGAGCACCTCTGTGTCTATTATTGGCAGGAAGCCGTGACAGGGAAGGCTACTCAGCCAGGGTGGGAAAAGGAGGCTAAACATGGTTTGGTTAGGAATGTGAGAGAACAGCCGTGTTCATTTGTACATTCACCAGCCAGCCTGCCAGCCTTCCAGTCGACCATCCAGACCTCTGAGAGCCTGGACAAGGGGTGCCTTTGTCCCCCATCTGCAGGCTACACCCTGCCCTGTTCCTGCCCCCCATCTTACCCTTCTCTCCATCCTGTTGGACCTCCTCTGCCTCCCTCTTTTCACTCGCAGACCCTCATCCCAGAATAGCACAGCAGGTCCCCTCTGAAAATAGAGCTGGTGCTGTTGGCAGGGTCAAGCTCTCCCTCGCTCCTCTTTCTACTTTGTATCTCCCTCGCCCTGTGTTTTTCTCTCTCACTTACAGAATCACTCTTTTGTCTCAGAGATTTATTCAGAGAAAATAATTAGCCAGTTAAAACAATAAGTGCATTTTTATTTGAAATGACACATCCAAACTCAGTGCAGAAAAAGTCCATGTTATGAATGTATTTAATGTCTAAATAGCTCATCAGCCCCTGGACTTAGTGTCTAAGTGTTTAAGTGTTTTAGTGTTTAATATCTAGGCTTCATCAAATGACAAGGAAAAGGTAAATTCTTCCCACTGAGTCATGTGGTCCAGCCTTAATCTCCCAGTAACTCATGTGGTGAGGTATTCCCTGTGAAGTGAAAAAAAAAATGCAGGTTAGTCACAGAGGAAATCTTATTAAAAGAGCACTGAATGTAGAAAATAGCTGTTTTTCTGTTTGAGGCAGGCTCAAGCTTCCCATTGAGCAAATAGCAGGATGCCCATAATTTTACAGATTCCACTTTAATCACTCAAATCAGGGTTGGCTCCGTGTCAACCAATTTTTTCTTTCTCTTCCCTAGCCATATCTTTTTAATCTTAGAAAATGACGGAAATTGTTGCATGTAGGTCAATGACGGGGCTTTTAAAAAGTGTGTAGCTGTATTTAAAATGTTCAAAACACAGATATTGATGCTGTGTTGTGTTAATGTCTGTTCAAAATTTCTAACTACCGAGCAGTATGTCCTGGGCAGTAACTATGTGCAAGGTGCATTGGTACATTGTTATCTGTTGCCATTATGGCAGGTACAGTCAGCACATAGGCTACTAATGGATGGAGTGTACAAAAGCAAGTACTCACTCAAAGTCATATGACTATGTGGACCTACAGGTTGTACAGATAAGTGACAGTGTAAGCAAATGTCGACCGGCTCCTAAAGATTCTGTAATTGATATTTTAACAAGCACAATAGATCAAAAGACTATATCTGTATCTTGAAAGGAGTCACTCATGGTGACGAATCCACAATGAACCCACAGATGATTATCCCTCAACAACAAGTTTCTTTCAGCTCTACAGGTTTTTTTGTTTTTGGTTTCTTTGAGCTCATTTGTTTGCTAAATGTTTGCTAACAGATTAGCCTTAACGCTATAAAGTGATAATGTGTCAGTGTTGCATTTAAAGGTACATATACAAAAAAGACAACAAATGCAGGTTTAAATATTATAGGATTCTGGTTGGTTTGGTGAGAAACTGATCATAAACATAGATAAAACTTAAAGCCGCAGTTCACGCCTGTAGACTAAACAATGGCTGTAACTCCTGCATTGAAATCTAGACCCTGAAATTTCATGGTGTAGACGTCTAGTTATAGGCGAGAGCTGCCTTCAAGGACCAGTCCAAATGGATATTTTTCAACTTGAATAATGAGTGAGTAACTCTAGCTCAGCCCCGAAGCAGTTGGTGTCTCTGGACAGACATTTCCCTGCTTATAGTCCTCTGTTTTTCCTGGAGCTGCAGCTAATGACATTCCACTTCAATTTCCCCGGTGTTTGATTGAATGAAGCCCACTTTAAGCAAACGGGCCTCATGGAAACTTCTTGGTGAACAATTTAATTTTTTCTGAATCTGTTGAATCTGTTTCTTTAAAACCATAAATTAACTAAATCACTGTCTGGGTTTACATCTATAGACTGTAACTGTATTATATAGTGCTGAAATGTTTATATGAAGCGTCGCCTACTCAATGTATCTCTGGCAGTGGATTATGGGTTGCATGTAAACCTAATCTTGATGATGTGCTGCAGAGGTGTAGTGCTTTTCTGACAGACTGTAAATTATGGCTCATGCACACTTTGCCTTTGGTTTCTCAGTCTTCTCTTTCCTGTCTGTCTTCACTGGACATCTGAACGGTTACTTGTAATCACAGGGGTAAGGTGGATTGTCTCATGAAACCAGTGATTACAGTGACTTTAAGAACTTGTGACTGGTGGTACCCATTTGTTCCTGTGAGTGAGCCAAAAATTGCTTTCTAAATATTTTCCTGCCAAAGAATTTGGCAGGGAAAATGTTTAAAAGTGTCAACCAAAGAAAAATCAAAATTCAAAATGCGTCAGATTCTCCTTTAACCAGCTTTTTCTCTTGCTCTGTTATTTCCTCTCTAGATGGTCCTGACCTGCCCAATGCTGTCGGCTTCTCCCCTCCCTCCAGCCCAAACCCAGCCAAGAAGAGTAGCTCCATCAACTGGTCCTTCCCAGACAAGATCAAGTCCCCACGCACCGTCAGGAAGATCTCCATGAAGATGAAGAAGCTCCCAGAGCTCAGCCGGAAACTCAGTGTCAAGGGGACCCCGAGTAGCAGTAACAGCAACAACGGCAGCGGAAGCAGTCAGTTGGAGCCGAGAGCCCATTCTCCCCGAAACAATGGTGGTGGGTCGGAGGCTGTGCCCCAAACTTCAGGCCCTCCTAGGTTAGCGGCATCTGGGGGTGGGCAGGCGAGGCGTAACGTGATCTCGCGCTACCACCTGGATAGCAGCGTGTCCACACAGCACAGCTTCAATAAGAAGAAAAGTAACGGCAGCTCAAAGTCCGCCAGTAAAGGTGGCTACCTCAGTGATGGTGACTCACCAGAGCTGGTGGCCAAATCTGGGAAGCACAGCTCTGCAGAGGGGAAGGGAGGGAAAGGCAAGGAGATGGAAGGAAGCGGAAGCTCGAAACTCAACGGAACAGAGCTGGACATTGATGCTTTCCGCCATTACAGCTTCACAGAACAGCCCAAGTGCAGCCAGTACATCTCTGGACTCATGAGCCTGCACTTTTACGGTGCTGAGGACCTCAAACCTCCACGCATCGACTCACGAGATGTCTATTGCGCCATCCAAGTGGACTCGGTTAATAAAGCACGAACCGCTCTCCTCACATGTCGCACTACCTTCCTGGATATGGATCACACCTTCAACATTGAGCTGGAGAATGCCCAGCACCTGAAGCTGGTGGTGTTCAGCTGGGAGCCTACGCCGAGACGCAACCGTGTCTGCTGCCATGGCACGGTGGTCCTGCCTGCACTTTTCCGGGTGACGCGTTGCCACCAGCTGGCGGTGAAGCTGGAGCCGCGGGGGCTGATCTACGTCAAGCTGAGCCTGATGGAGCAGTGGCAGAACTCGCTGGACGGTGGGCCAGATGGAGACAGGGAGCCCCAGGTGTTTGGTGTGGAGGCGTGGCGGGTGGTGGAGCGGGAGAACACGGGGCTGATGGTGCCACTGCTTATAAGCAAGTGCATCAATGAGATTGAGAAGAGAGGCTGCCAGGTGAGTCTGTGCATGGTTCAATGAGTTTGACTTTGACAGAAAGGTTTCAGTTCTCCTGCAATTAACAAGTCAACCAGACAGCTCTGTGGTGAAGGTCCTGGTCCTGATTTTAACAAAGGTACATCACAATTTCCAGAGCCAGGTCTTCAAATGTCATGTTTTTCCTCTGACTAACCCATCCATATTTGTTTACAGTTACTATATATAATAACTGAAAACCCTCACATCTAAGAAGCTGCAAACAGGGAATATTTAGAATTTTATAAAGCACTTGAATGATCGATTAGTTATCACATTTATTGTTGGTTATGTTGTCTCTCAACTGACCTCAATGATTTGAGCACTTAGGATGGCAAATACGGATTATTTTCATTATCATTTAATATGCTGATTGTTTTCTCGATTAATCCTTATATTATTAAAATTACAGAGAATAGTGCAATGAAATAATGAGTCATTTGCCAAAGCTCAAAGTCTTCAGAAGTCTGAGAATCTGGCCCACACCCCAAAGCCCAAAGAAATGAAATTTACAATTAGATAAAAGAGAAAAAAAGGAGCAAATCCTCACATTTACAAAAGAAGCACCAAGAAGTGTTTTGCATTTGCTCTTGAAAAATAATTGAAATTGATTGTAAAAATAAACACAGATTACTAATCAATTAATTTACTAATTACTTCAGGTCTATAAAATATTTACTATACTTGTGCAAGGACATGTTTGAACAGTACGTGTGGATAAAAGCCACTCTAATCCTATTCTGCAAATTTAAAACAGATGTGGATTCCTTTGAAAGGAAGGTTGGTAGGATACAATTATATAACGCATTTTTGTACGAGAGTGAAAGAACAGGGAGAGAAGTAATCTACATCCAGAGCATGCTTTTAGCTGGGTTTGCTGTGAGACAAGCGTTCACCCTGCAGCCAGTAATAACGCTGGATGACTGGCATGAGCAGAAGAGATACAGGAGATGTACAGCATATACCACACTTCATGATGTCACTGAGCCTTCCTGAGGCGACTGGCTCTTTTATTCAGAGAGGAGAAAGACTCAGAGTTAAGAGACCAGGGTGGTGGGGAAGCAATGGATCCCCCCCACCCACCCACCACCACCACACACACACACACACACACACACACACACCTACACACACCCACACACCCTCCATGTTTCATGTGCTCTTTGAAGCCCAGAAAGACGTGGCTGCATTTCTCCTAATTAGGACTGAGACAGCGGCAGTAAAAGTGTCTGGCCACTATTCCTGACTGATCAGTCTGGAAGTGTGTGTGAAAGGGGGGGAGCAGGCCAGGGGCAGTCGGACCCTCGGGCCAATAGACAAACAGTCTCCAAAAAGTACCAAGAATACCTGTAGCTGTAAATTTCCCTTGGAGTAAGTTTTATCGAATCTCTAATGCAAATAGCCTTTAGTTTGTTTATTTCAGATTTGTGCAACAGTGCATCATATACATACATGTGCTGGATCATGCACTTCCCAGAAGCCAGCTTGCTGGTACAGTCACTCTGGAGAAGCTGATGCACTGTGGCCAAATACACCCAGCTGCCCTCTTCACGGGCCAGCTGTAGCTTCTACTTCACCAACAGTGTTTACTCGGTTCACTCAGGTTTCCTCTGTTTATCTAATTCACTTTGCTTTGTCTTGCCATATTGTGATTCCCATCTGTTTCTTTCCCTCCTTGTCTGCCTCTGTTTTATCTGTCTCTCCTTCTGTCTCCCTTTTTTCCACTCACTCTCTCCTGTCCCTCACAGTGTTGCTTCTAATCGCCCCTGCCCCTCTGTTTTGCTGCCTTCTTTCATTACAGAGATGTAGAGGAGACTTTGCTCAGGGTATCAGTCAGAGATCAAGTATAAGTGCTCCCCCAGGTTGCAGGCAGACAGGGGTTAGGGTGGCGTTGACACCAGATCTCAGAGGAATTTGCAGGTTGTGTCACTAAAGCACGCATGGCCAGACGTGTAGCTGTGTGCCTCTTACAAATGATTATGTGGATCTTTGATGGAGACTCTTTTTCAGAGAATTGTGTGTCCTCAGGGCTTCTCCGAGCTTTTAAAAGACGCTGGCTGATTGTGTTTTGAAAAGACTGGAGATAATGTCTGTGTGGAGAGACATGAGTTATGTATGTGTGCCTATTTGAAAGAGATATTTTTTTTAAAGGAGCTATCCCAGTAACCTACATACTGTCATACATGACAGAAAAAGATGAACACGTATGTTGGGACATGTTAAAAATGGCATCATTAGAATGAACAGAAATCCTGCTCCTGCAGTGTTAAAGGTTTTTATTTTGTTTAGGACTGCAAGTATCAATTAATCTGATGATTATTTTCTGTCATAGTCATCTGCACTAATAACTTAATGCCCTAAAAGCTGTTCTAATTAATTTAATTTCCTGATACAAATGGTAGACTCCCCTTCAATTCCTTCTGGTTTGCTTGGTGTATGTGGAGACCTTTGCTGGATATTCATCCTCTAAGCAGCTGGCATGAGTGAAAGCTTAAAGTTAAACTGACACTGTGATGATGGTGTCCCTGAACAAACACATAAAACACACATAAAGCGCTTTAATTTGTGTGTGCATACGAAATGATGAAACAGTATCACAGTGTCTATCAACTATTTTCATTATTGATAAATTTTTCAACAGATTTTAAGGCAAAAACACCCAAAATCTTGGGGGTACCTCTAATTTGTGAGGTTTCACTGTTTTCTTTTTCTTGTGGAATAGTAAATTAAATATCTTTGTGTATTGAGCTGTTGGTCAGACAAAACTAGATCTTTGAAGATGAGACAGGCATTTTTCAACATTTTCTGACACTTTACAAAACAAAAAAATGATTGATTAATTGAGAAAATAATCAGTAAAGTGTTAGCTGTTATTTTGTCACAAAGGTGTGAACAGATGATTATTTCCCTGCTTCCCTGACTTTGTTCGAACACTGAGGAGCATTATTGCGGTCAAATGCACTTTTCTTTCTTTCCTTTCTTCTCCTTTGATGTTTCTATAAAGTCCTTAAGCTGATCCTAGACAAAAAGAAAAAAAAAAAAAACTGATCCCATCATTGGTCCTTCGGTCACCGAGCATCCACATTCCTGTCAAGGGAACTCGTTTTTGGTTTGTGGTTATTGTGTCTGCCTTATTCTACATATAGGTCCTTGCTGGTGCTGCTTGTTGTGTTGCCCGGCAGCCGCAGAGCAGGAGTGCAGGCCCTCTTTTTGCCAACAGCTGTTCCCCGCCTGCACTCGGGCTCTCCCCCAAAGAGAGAGACTCTTTTTTTTTTCTGAATGGACTTGTTGTTCATTGTGCCCAGTGACTTCTGTTTACTCTCACACAAAGCCAAATCCCGACCTAATCTGTCCTCCTCTCTCCCTCTCGTGTGAGGTTTAGAAAACACTGCTCAACTGGACGAGGAGAGCTCACAAATAGTTGGTCTGGTGGGATGGGGAGACTTTATAGCGCTCCTACGCTGGAGCCCGGAAAGGCCAGCAGTGTGTGTGTGTGTGTGTACAAGTGTGTATGTGTGTGTTTGTGTGGATCTGGACCCGACCCGCCATTCACAGCCCACTGACTTAACACGTTACCGGGGCAACCACACCAGTTGGTCTGCTATGCCACATACCAGACAGACACATGTAGGAGAAATTATGGTATGTCTGTAGCCAGGCCTAATCCCAACATAACAAAGAAACCACTGGTGCCGAGTTTCAACTATCAAATGTCAACGTCTTGAGGAAATTGTTAAGAGTTCCTTCAGGTCACACTCTGGAGGCGTAGGTGAAGAAACATAAATGGTTTGTGCTTCCATTTTTAATGCTGAGCTGTCAGCCTGGTTTTTAGAAGAGCTCTGTGTTTATCCGTTCAGTCATAAGGACGTGACACTTTTATCACACTTCTGAGTGAAGTTAGGTACAAGTCAGAACACATTTCCATTTTCAAATAAGCCGAGTGATGAAACTATGTTCACAGATGTGTTGAAAATGATGCTAATGGCTACTTTTTCAGAGAAAAGTGAGACTATATCTTTTGAAAAAATTATATCAACCAAATCTTCCTCTTACAAATGAAAAGCTGAATTTATAAGCAATACAACACACCCACCACTTCAGTAACACACACTCAAGGGTTTTACTGCTACAGCCTTTCTTTGGTTATGGTCTGACCACTAGCTAATGATGGCTAATCATGTGCTGCTTTTAGCATCATCATGTAATGGCCAAATGTTGCACAGTCTTGTTTTAAAGTGAATATTTAACACAATATTCTTTTTACTTTTAGTAATAAAATGTACCATTGCTCTTCTTAATACACTCAGGACTTTTTCTGCTACAGCTTTTCTTGTTCTGCTGTGACCTGCAACTCATTGTCAAGTCTTTTGCTCTGATTGGCAGACTTTTGCTGCTACAGCTGCAGATGGTCAGGTGTGACTGTTAGCTTATATTACCTATTGTTTGCATATACATTGCTAATGCTTTGTAGCCTGACATTGCTGTGCCACTTTGCAGCTCTCTTTGCGCCTTTTTCCTATTTGTGCCCCTCTTAGACCATCTGTTTTATTGTGCATCAGATAAATATTTCACAGGTTTTATGTTCAGCAAGAATTATATAGTCTTACTGTAAATGTTTCAAATGAACATGTTATAACAGTCTATCTTCTGTCTGTCTCTGCTGAGAGGAGGCAGCTGGTGGTCAGTGATGTCAAGTCAGGGTTATTTGTCTCACATGAGCTTGTGTCAGGGCTTTGCAATGTGTGCAAAATACAGTGTGACACCCTCTATCCTACAGCCCTCGATCTAGATCAGAGAAACCTGCACAAAAAAAAAAGAAAAAAATACAACAAATAAAAAGAGAAACCTTTTATTCAAGGGGGGGATCCTCTTCCTCGATGCACATACTTTTAATAGATGCGGTGTGTGCAGAGTAGACAGGAATACATAGAAACACAATATGGTGTTACAGGATTAGGATAGTAAGTGCACAAAAAGTGTGGTACAAGAAGTTATTAAGAATAGTGATAAGTCAGTCTTCTCACTGGGATTCAGTTGTTTTGTAAGCAGCTTGTCACAATCTGGTTCTGTGTCATACTGGGCCTCCTGTGTCTCGTGAAAAAGTGAGTCCTGGTAGATAATTGTATCATAAGCTGTCATTTTGTCGAGTTAAGGCAGACAAGACTTTTGAGACACGTGAATTTTCTGTGAAAGTAGTTCTGGCTTCTGTCCAGCGCATTGTTTGAGTGCAGACGTAGAAGTTGATCGATAGGGTTGTAAGGATGTCTGCCTCACTGTCAACTGTTTGACTCTTTCAGCCATGCCTGTTTATTTGACCTACTTGTGTGTGTGTTTCCAGGTGGTGGGTCTCTACCGTCTGTGTGGGTCTGCAGCAGTAAAGAAGGAGCTACGTGAAGCGTTCGAGAGAGACAGCCACGGCGTGGAGCTTTGTGAAAACACGTATCCTGACATCAACGTCATCACAGGTAAACTGAGCATGAGCAACGGAGAACACGAGACGCCAACAAAGCACAAGATCACCACACACACTCAGTGTAATTAGGGACTGTTAGTTAGTTAACGAGATGGCATTTCCAAACAGCCCTGGTGTCCCTCTGGTCTTAGGATACGTCTGAAAAATACCGTCTTACCTGTACTTCATTAGGATATTACATAATACAGTACACTCAGTATACAAACATCAGGTACACTCTGAGACTGACTGAGCAGTCGACCCCAGATTAAAGTCAGTGATTCTTGATCAGGGCTGCAAGAACGTTTTCTTTTTTGTTTTCTTTTTTTTGGCGGATTATTCCACTGATTATTTCCAAGATTAATCACGTGATCCAGTGAAAAATGCCCATCACAATTTCCAAGAGCACAAGTTGGCATCTTCAAGTTGTTTGTTTCGTCTTAAAAATTACAATCAAAACCAAAAATTATTAACGTTCCACCAATGACAACAAAGAAAAGCAGCACATCCTCACATTTGAGAAGCTGGAACCAGTGAATTTTTTGGACATTATTGATTGAAAAATGATTAACTGAATGTTAAGTTTGTTGCTGATTAATTTTCTGACGATTTCCCTAATTAACTGATTAATTGATTGCTTTAGCTCTAGTTTTGACATGTTAAACTCAGTTACGTCATGAAGCAGGAGAGGAGGAGATTTTTTTGAGACAATTGAAACATTTTATGAAACATTTGGAGATGTGTTGTGGAAAGGGAGGCACAAGCTTATGAGTTATGTGTCAAAAATATTCATTACATCGATATTAAATTACTGTCAGAACAGTACTTTATTTTAGACTTTTTTCACTTATTATGATAATAAAACTTTATTTACACAGCTTTACAACATTAAAAACCTAAAAGAAATAGAAATATAAGAACAGAATAGAAACTAGGGAGATATCAAAACACGAGGCTGTAAAAACAAGGAGTGGGTAAAAATGAATAAAATGGGATTCATTCATTCAAATCAGGGTAAAATGTAGTAAAAGTAGGATTAGAGACGTGATTCAAGCAAAGAAGAGAAGAAGAAGAGTTACTCGGTGAAGAGAGTAAGGCAGTGTAGCACATGTACATTAATAACAAAACAAATGGCGCAATGCCCCACTGCAGTCTGGATGTCGTATCGATCCACACGTTGCTCCAGTGAACGTGCCTGAACCTGTTTGTCCGCTGCAGATAGGTCAGCACATGCGTACGTCTGTGAGTGTATGTGTGAGTCTGCCATTTGTAGTAAAAGCATTCCAGCAGTCAACATACCAGTATAGGCTATAGGCCAATGCCTGAGGGAAGGGCCCACACACACACACACACACACACACACACACACACACACACACACACACACACACACACACACACACACACACACACACAGATCAGACCATGCTGTACATTCAGGTCATTCTTTCTCCTTCAGGTTTGTGGTTGAGACATGCTTTGTACTGTCCCTTCTAGGTCATGTTTTAGTCAGCTCCGAGTGTGTGTTTTTTTTTTTGTTTTTTTTTTCAGATGTAAGCGACTCAGCCTGATAATGGTGGTAGTGTAAGTGTAAATGTTGTTTGGGTGTCCCTAAAGCAGTGCTGCACATCTCACGTCTCATTATTTAAAGCCAGTAATTTAAATGCCACTCAAATACCTGTCAGTTGCAGCTTCTCCCTGCTCTGTTGCTGTCAAATCAAAAACGAACACAATGAGTTACAGCGCATCTCACAGAGTCTGCAGCTTCCAAAAACAGCCATGTCACTGGATTGAGTAATGACTCCAGCAGTGTGACAGATTTTGAGGGTGGGGGCAAAATTGTAGAAAATGACTTGGTCATGATTTTTTTTTTTCTCCCACAAAAAGAGGAAGACCATGGAAACCCCTGGGCATTGTAGGAACTGCTGTTGGTTTTGGGAAGAGGCCCCATATAGGCGTCGTCCTATCATGCCTGCTTTGATCCACATGCATTTGCATGGCAGGGCAAAGAACACAGTTAACAGTTGAGCGGGTTAGAAAAAAAGGGCCAGCACCAGCGTGGATTGTTGGTTTTTGCTCGCTGCCTAAATTTGCTCTGCCAAGCGAGTTGCTGTTGCAGTTGGACCTGAGTGAGTGGAAGAGGGCAGAAAGGGGGGGGGGGGGGGGGCAGCAAAAATGTCCATCTGGGATATAATCATGGGTTTAGTCTTAAAACATACTTTCCTGAAATATTTGGTAAAAACCTGCCAGTTGATTGACCTGACTTTACTTTTGCTGCCAGTATTTTGAAATGTAATCTCCTCATGTTTCAAGAAACACCTTCTAATTTGAATTTATAATTGAAGTGCTGAATAATGCTGAATATTGGATTAAAAAGGAGTCTCTGCAGTGTGCAGTCAGACGAGCGGCTAATAAGCGAGCAGCAAATGGATGAGCTAAGAGGGCTGGCGTGTCACACGGCTAATTTAAAAGCGGAGGTAGTGAAAGGGATTATCCAGGGGTCAGAGTTCAATCCAAAGCTTGCAAAACACGCTCAGTGCGCAGCCCTCCATTGTTTCAAATCTCAGTCCTTTGTTTCAAATCACAATTCACTCAAAGGGAACAGAAACGTGTCATCAACATGAGCAATATGCTGTGAAAAATCAAGGCAAACAACATTATCTTCAGCAGTTTGCGTTCAGCAGTCACTCTTTCTCCTCTGTAGTTAATCTATGTATGAGCCTATAGAAAGCAGTCACAGAAAGAGACTGTGCTGCTGTAGATCAGCTGCAACATGGCGGACGACGCGGAGGTCTTCATAACCTCCACTGACTCCTAGCAATCATCGAGCGACTTGTGAGGATAGTGGCTCAGTTTAATTTGGAATTACTTAAATCTACACTGAATGTTCCAAACACTGGACACCTTAAACTCCCCGTGATAATTTCCAGAATCAGCAGAGGAATTACAGACAATCTCAGACATTCAGACTGCAAAAGATGTCTCTCAGTTTAGATGAAATGCAAGGATCTGGTAGTTGGGCAGATGAAACCCCCCCATAGACCCACAGCTTGACATTTTTACACTTCAGTTTTTGAACAGATTAAAAAAACAAGATATGATGTGTTAATTAGTGAGCTGTAGAGGGGCTGGTAGGTGGGTTTTATTATTTTTTGGACAGGGCTTGTTTGGCTGTTTCACCTGTTTCCAGTCTTTTTGCTAAGCTAAGCTTGTTTCTTAGCATAAAGACTGGATACACCGCTTGGAGTATTTCCCAAAATGTTGAGCTAATCCATTAAATAGGTTGGAAGTGCTGCTTATTCTTGTCTACTTCAGTTTATATTGAATATACCCAATATTTCCCATTTTAATGTTAATTCTGTAACAGATGTTGCTTTATTGGAGCAGGACTTTTTAGCTTTCAGATAGTTTAGACATGGACGGTGCAAAAGAGACAACAATCTGTTATCAGAAACATGCCTGAAATATCTGGTAAATATCCTGAATCTAAAAATGGCAATAGCTCTAATTTAGAAGAAGAATACCAGATGATGTTTTTCTTCTGGGTGAGGAAGGCTTTACATGGTAGTGGATGTTGGTTATGAAGTTTTATTATATACTGTATATGTTTTAGAGCTTTGTGACATCAGCAGTGCTTTCAGCCACAACAGCAACAAGTGAGCATTAGCAGACCTCAAAATGTTTACGACACACGTTACAGTAAATCACAGTTTATCTTAGAATTCACACAGTTACAAATATTCCTGTTTGGATTAAACAAATAAACACTGAATCACTGTCAATCAAAGTGTGTTTCTCAAGGTCAGTTTAGTGACGCTGAATAATGATTAAGCCCTCAGCTCGACCTGTTTGGCCTTTGTATGGAGAGAGAACTTGTGATCCAGTGATGGGAAACAGGTTCAGTTATTTGTCCTCTGAGGAAAAAAAAAAAAAGAAAAAAAAAGAAACTAGTGTGTCCTGACTCTTGCCGGTTGACAGTTGGGTGCAGTTATTGATCCTAGTTTGGGGTTTTTAATTCTGCCCTTCCTGACTCCTCTTTTCCATAGTCTACTTCCCTACTTTGCCCCCCACCCTCGGCAGTACTCCAGTGAAGACATGGAAAGTCATTAACAAGTGCCCCCTTTGTTGCCGAACAAACACAGATGGTATTTGGCTCATGCATGGGGGATTAGCTGAACCCTGGGCCGGCCAGGGAAGCAGGCAACCACTTTACAAAGAGCTCCAGGCCTGTGTGGGTGTCAGAATATTTCTTAAACTGCGGGTCGGGGACCAAAAACCAGTTGCAGACATATCTCTGACGAGCTCCACTGTTTCCAGGGTTGAGCTTGGGTTTGCACGTTTTGGGTTTTTTTTTTTTTTTCGGGGGGGGGGGCTACGGAAAGTTTGAAGCAAACCGCAGTGTAAAGCTTTACCGTGGCACTGGACAAGGCAGAGATACACACATCTCCTCTGGCCCCCCCTAGTGCTGTGGGGGCGTGCAGGACAGCAGGGAGGGGGCACGACGGAGAACAAACCCCCGTTTGTTCTCTAGGCGAGGCGTTGACTGCAGCACTGACAAGAGGAGTGACCTTCCGCTTTGTTTGAACAAGAGGTCAAAGGTAGAGCCGTGCCCCAGTGCATTGTGTGCCTTGTAGTGTTTGGTGGCACATTTGAAACATTGAAATAGTCTGAAATAATGATAAAGAAAACTATTTACATGCATATACTTTAAGCTGCTGTCATCTGTAGCTTTAAGTGCGTGTACTGAAGCTGTGTTTCAAGGCTTTGTTCTGCTTTTTCAATGAGCTGCTTGGCATTTCAGGGCTACAGTATATTCCTCTACACAGTCTCTATCAGCCTGTAGGTGTAGGCGGAGATGTGTGTGTATGTATAGTTCAAATCTCTGCTGGTGTGAAGCCAAACCCCAGCAGTTTAAATGTGAGAGCGCAGACACTCAGCGTGCGCTTGTTGTCAGCTTGCCTGTGAAAAAGAGTGAAGAACCTGCAGGGGAAGCACACCTGTTCACCCCTGAGCCCATGACCTTGTGCACGTGTGTGTGTGTGTGTGTGTGTGTGTGTGTGTGTGTGTGTGTGTGTGTGTGTGTGTGTGTGTGTGTGTGTGTGTGTGTGTTCACGTTTCACTGAGCATGTGTGCGTGACTGTGTGTGTGTGCTGATCAGGGGCTAAGACACTAAAGTAAACACTAACACTGACTCATAGCAGGCTAATGATTTACCTGAATGGCTGTATTTCTCCTCACTTCAGACAAACACAAGCACACATGCACATGAACATACACAAGGTTGGACTGACTGGTGTGTTTCTTTTTCTTTTCTTTTCTTTTTTTTTTAACATTATTGCAATAGAAAGAGCCTAAACATGTGCGTGATATTTTCATAAATCGCATGTGAGGAGAAACGTTGGCTGTTTAGTTTTCTGAGGCGATGCTAACGTGAAACAGTCGTGCTTTCTGTTTCCAGACGATCTGCCTCACAGCACAGGGAAGGTCACAGGGTCTACCATGCTTGAGTTTACATGTGAAGGAAAGTGGTACCTCTCTGCTTTTTATTTGCACACTCGAGTAACAAAAAAAGCTTTACTTTGCAGAGATAAGGATAAAAACACACGGCTCTTCTTTGCTTCCAGGCAGCCTGTTTTCCTGCGATGGAACAAGCAGATTATTATTATCTCTGCAAAGTCTCAGTAAAGATCGACAACGGGAAGCAGGAGGATGTTCACAAAGCATTTCTGTGTAATCTGTTTTGGAAATCAGCATGTCTAGGGAAGCGTTAAGGAGACTGAATGTATCTTGTGTTTATGTGTGCTTATCACATTTTGCTCATACCAGATTTCATACCAAGCCTGATGAAGTTGAAAGATAGCAGAAGCATTCATCAGTGTGAATCAGAACTAAAACAAAATGGAAACATGCACCCACAGATCGGCTACGCTGGCTCACAGGCCACAGGGGACATGTTTAATTGCGGGGGACATTTTATCAAGTTTTAAGTGTGTGTTTGCCTGAAGCCGTGTTAAAGTCTGACCCCGCTGACTTAGAGCTGTCATTGTGTTTGTCTACCTGAGATGGGCGGGCTGACATAGTACGCCAATGTCGTTTTGGGTATGGGTTGTTTTTCTTCAGAGCTAACACTAACTACCTCAGGAATGCACAACATTTCTGTGTGTGTGTGTGTGTGTGTGTGTGTGTGTGTGTGTGTGTGTGTGTGTGTGTGTGTGTGTGTGTGTGTGTCGTGTGTTAGAACGTGTTGAATCTCGAGTTCAGAGAAAGGACTTGTGGACGGGTTTGAGAAGAGGTGAAAATCCACATATCACAGCATTTACAATCTAGGTTAATTGTAATACTTGTCCCTGACTTGTTTGTATATAAAATACACAAACAGAACAACACAAAAAATACAAGTGCAACTGTAAAAACAATACAATCAATAATACGAATTACAAAGAAAAGAGGCTACAGAGATTCATATTCTTTTTACCTACTTCCTAAATATTTTGTGGTATTGGGTTTGGGTTGTGAGGGGTTTGGTGTGTAAAGGTAATGCTTGCGGTTTACAGTGGATCATTCTCCTGATGAGTGTTGAAGTTTTTTTTTTGCGCTGAATGTCAGTGTGACGATACTGAACCTAATGCTAATCTGAGCTAACCTAATCCTAATTGTAGTGTAACACTGAACTGAATTTAGTTGCTTCCTCCACTCTCTAATCCTGTATTCAAAGGCTCTTGTGCCTGTGTAACTGTTGGGAAAGAAGACAGGACATTTAAGTGTCATCACCTAAAACCGATGAACTTTCAGCTTCATTTTCAAACATTTGTCTTTGCACTTTACACAGACTGATGTGTGATGGACCGACCGACGACACTCGTAAGGAATAGACTGGAAAGCGTTAATCCTCAGGCTCACTTAAAGAGCAGAGTGGGGACTTACGGGGATTAAAAAGTTAACGTGTTAAGTTGTGCCCTCCATTCTCCTCACTGGGCCTAAAGGGATGTCAGTGGATTTACGGTGAATCTTATTGCAGTTTTCTGTAAATAGAAGCCGAGAGGCAAAGAGGAAAAACACCTCGGGTGTCCGGCGATGTAGAAGTGATGATGGAGGAGCCTCTATTTACAGCATCCTAATCAGAATCTGCTGCAAAAGCTCCAGGGATTTTGTCACTACTTTGGGAATTGCAAGGAACAGGATGGTGTTTGACACAGATACTTTATACCTTTAACCTTTTTTTTTAAACCCAGTCGTACTGTTGTTGTGTTCTCTATTAACAGTGTATGTGGCAAAACTCATAAAGTCATGGCTTGGGGCAATTATCTTATCATGTTATGTTGTGTTGATAAGCAGAATATCATCATCATAATCAACATACCCAGAACATGTAGATAAGAAACTCAAGTGTTTAGAAGTAGCTGAAGAGTAAAGTGAACAAAAACCAACTGCTTTCGAGTGAAATATTTCACTAGTGCTTCACTGAATATGAAGTCTTGGTAAAAATGTTTACAGTGTTAAGCATGTAGCCAACATTACAGGGAAAAACACATATGAACGGGTCATGTTCACGTCCCTGAAGCTGACACACAGTCATAGCCTCTATCAGAGATCGAGGTTTGTAATGAGCCAGTCAAAACAGAGCAACAACCTCAAGGACAACCTAGGCATTCAGCTCGAATCATGACTATTCATATTTCAATGCATAAATCAGCAACCACCAGCAGCAACCCAAAAGTTAACCTCAGGCACAAAAAGATCAATAATCATTAATGACAATGTAAATGCTGCATACAAATAGAAGGAAGACTCATAAGAGCAGAAACTAGAGGCCAGGAGACACCAAGACAAACCCTGCCCACAAAGCAGGTCTGTGGGCTATGGATAAAAACAGCCATCGACATCAGCAGCTTACTGATATTAGCCAAGCACATGAACCCAGAAGAGATTCAAGACATCTCATGATAAGCATGTTAGTGCAAGCAACTGATGTAGAAAACTTGTGATCTCTGGCATCTCAGTGGTCGTCACGCTCCAAAGTTGCCAACATCACGGGCAGGAAATCTCTCATTCTGGCTTCGGGTGCATGTTTGAACCCAGCAGCAGATAAGATAAGTGCCTGAAAAACAACGTTGCAGAACACCAGCAGCCGTAACAGCGTGATTATTCCTCAACAAAGCCATCCTGAAGCAATGGGATTGGACTGTTGCCAGGTGAGCTTGCTTAGAAAAATGCTGTTCAAGCATCAGTAGCAAGTGTTTGCAGCAGTTTGTAAGTCTTTGCAGTTGAGCAGTGCAGCAGCAGCAGCAGCAGCAGCAGCGTGTATATGGTGCAGTGTGGATGTATTGATCGAGTGTAGTATCTGGCGTTTGATTACAGCAGCACAAGACAACGTATCTGTCTGATACTGGCTCACAGGCGTCTAATATTTGTAGCTCAAGTCTGTCAAATCTTTCTTTGTGATAAAACTAACATTAAAGTTGCATGTGAGAAAACAGGAAGTTGTCAGTTAAGTGTTTTATTTGCAGTTTCTAATTGGTTTGCCCAACAACACACTTTATATGAGGGTTATTTGGTGATTGTAATTCTTAAGAAATATAAAATTATTGTTAGTGTTCATACACAGTGTGTATCACTTTGGAGCATAACCAATATTGCTGATTACACAGCCCACAGCCTTCTCTGAAAACTGATCCAGCTTCATGCAGAGGGAAAAGAGAGAAGACACTCACCACAAAGAGCTGTCACACTGCCAAGAGCCTTTTTTATTCCCGTATTTATCCCCCCCCCTCCCTTTGCCTTTGATGAAAAGACATGCCAGGGCTATTTGAGGGGCTTAGTGGAGACAGACAGCGTGGGTTTCATGTTTTGCTGTGGTTTTTGTCTGAACTGCGGGTGTGACAGGTCACAGGTGTGAATGCACCGTCACAGACACCGGGCTCCCTAACACTTTTGGCTGCAGAGTCGCGCCTGACTCCAATCAGGCATCCCGGCAGACGCCACAGGATCACCCGCGGAAACAATAGCACCTCAATTTGCAGCCAAGAGAGTGCGCCAGGTTCATTTGTTTAAGGGAGAGGGGGGAAATAAAAGCTTTTTATTTCTCAGTGACAGCACTTCATAAAGATGTGTTGTTAGTGATTTGTCAAGAATTAAAGGTGCTAGCGTGGAAGATAAAGAGGTACTTTTCAGTTCAAATGCGGGAAAAAAGAATGACTCTCAGTTCTGCTGCAAAGAAGTGTTTTTTAATTTGTTGACTCTCTCTCATGCTGTATTTTCTCTCTTGTCTCCCTCTCTTCAGGAGTACTGAAGGACTACCTACGAGAGCTACCCTACCCTCTGATCACCAAGCAGCTGTATGAAGCCGTGCTGGAGTCCATGGCCGTGAGGCCTCTGCGTATTGGAGCAGCAGGCTGCGAGAACGACCAGGCCGACTCGGAGCACACCGTCAGCCTGCTGGAGAACCTGCCAGAGGTGGAGAGGGTGAGGAAGATAAACTGCACATCCCCCGCTTGATCTCACAGTCATCTCAGTGCTGGAATACTGTCACAGAAGTGGTCGTGAAAGGCATAATTGTGGCGTAGATAATGATGGTTACGATGTTAAGATTACTATGTTTAATTTCTATTACGTAGGCTTTTACATTGGGTGATATTAGTGGTGGCACACTAACCACATGTCTTCATCTTGTCACCTGCATATAAAGATTTTTAGACTACTGATGTACGACACAAAGTGAAACTGAAGTGCGACTGATGCTGGATTTTTGAGGATGACACAGACTTCAGCATTTTAATATTTAAAATTTGATATAAAATGAAATGAGAGAGGGAGAGAGAGATGGAAAACAAACAAAGATCGCAGAGGTTTAATCCCCAGATATCCTTATTATCTTGTCTTATACAAATACTTTAGGGATCCCTTGAATATAGTTATTTCTGAATTATGAGACACTGATTTTCAACTGCTACAAAAATATCTTTGTATTTTATGTACTGCAACTTCTTTTTATTGACCAATATAAATGCTGTTGTCAGTGTATCTGCCATGAGCCTCCATTAAACTGTGTCTGCTCAGCCAGTTTATTGTTCTATAGCACTAATAATGACAATAAGTAGCAGCTGCAAGTGGGAGCGACAATGACACAGACATTTTAGACTCACTGTCAGCAGGAAATAAATGCTCAACTCTCTGCTACACATGTTTAATGGATTTAAGGTCACACAATGTGGAAAATAAATAAATAAATAAATCCTAGATATAACCAGTACATATGTAACTCTGCTTAGAGTTTACAGTGTACAGTGTGTTGCCAAGGCCACGTGGCATCAGATAACTCTGGGGACATTTGTCTTTAGAAATCCCCCTTGGAATAATCATTTGAAAGGCTCTTCTGCTTAAACTTTCCAAACTACTATCATAGCTGTTACAATAATGGGATATCTAGCAAGATGTAAAGCATTCACCTTAATGTAACATTTTGCCTTGTCTGCAAAAAGTGTCATTTTTCTTCATTTCTTACATGAAACAGCTTTTCACTGTTACAAACAGCATGTTGAAGTAGATGTTACAGTGTAGCTCTGCTGCTGCCGGTGGTACTACTACAACTACTAATCATAATAATAACATGTCTTATTTGTCTGTGTTTGCACACTCGTGTGCGTGTGTGCGTGTGTGTGTGTGTGTGTGAATCAGATGACACTGCGGAAGCTTCTCGACCATCTGAAGCTGGTGGCGTCCTACCAGGAAGCGAACAAGATGACATGTCAGAACCTGGCGGTGTGTTTCGGCCCAGTGCTGCTGAGCCAGCGTCAGGAGGCGTCCTGCCACACCAACCGAGTCTTCATCGACTCTGAGGAGCTGGCCAGCGCCCTGCACTTCAAAAAGCACATCGAAGTCCTGCACTACCTGCTGCAGCTTTGGCCAGGTTGTTAGCTTTTTTTTTCCTTCCTGAGCACATTTTGATATATTTAAATACGTCCTACAAAGTATCATGGCTTTATAAAACATCTATTTTACTGTGAGATTATATGTTTGTACTGTATATACCAGTGTTTTGCCCGAGGGTCTCGCACAGATCAGCACCAGCTCTGTGGTTCAGCTCTACAAAGGACTGTTGGGCTGGGCTGCTTTGATCGTTGAGGTCATCCAACACTGGCACAAGTACAGCTGATAGCTATTGGCCACCATCTGTTGGCTCCCCAGAGATGAAACTCTCCACAGAGTACTTCATCATGGCAGGCTGAGCCAATCAGAGCCAAGCCACTAAACCCTAATGTAAACCAAAGTTTCGAGGCGTGGCCCCCCTGTCTTAAGATAAATCACCAACCAAGGACAGATACCCAGTACCAGCCTCGCTCAGCACAGGTCATCTGTCTGCCTGCACAGCTGCTCTGTGCCAGCTGCAGCTGTCTGCTCAGTGTGAGACATGAAGGAATCCAAAGATTATTCAGGAGGGAGCTGAGAATGATGAAAAGAGCTGCAGGCGCTGTAAAATTTATATTGGTCACAGCAACTAATTTGAAATGTTTTTGAAACTTGCGGGTTCAATATTTTTATGTATTTGTGTTCACCACATCTCTAAGCAGTGTGTGAATGGCTGCTGTCAGGCAGTTAAAGTCTCAGCCCCGCCAAGAAGTTAATCAAAATATTACAAAACTGGAGCGCCCCGGTGGCTCAACTGGTAGAGTGCGTCCTTACCGCAGCGACCATGGGTTCGAGTCCGACCCATGGCCCTTTGCTGCGAGTAAAGGCAAAAACTGCCGCAAAAAAAAAAATTGACCTGTGCACTCTCCCTAGGCGCATTGATCAGATATTTCCATTTGAAAATCCATTAGTGCTATCAGGACAAAAGCCCGTGGTGCAGCTGTTGGCAGTTTGCCTGTTCTGACCTCTTTAGAAAAAATGGATTTTCTTCTGTGGGTTGTTGCCACTTTTATAAACATTAAGGTTAATGAGAGTGGTTGAAAATCCATCATCCAATTTTAAACATGCGCGGTCATCAATCTCAAACTTAGCCGGCTTACTGTTCCTCAATTCGGAGTGCAGTGTTATCCTGTTAAGTTTGTCAAGCTTTGTTTCAGTGTGTCCCGAGAGCACACATTTTTCAAAATGCACAAGCATGCTGTATCTTGAAAAGATCTTTTCCAAGCCTTCCTCCTCCTAACATCACGTCGGACAGACTCCATCCCTGACAGACTCAAATCCCCAGAGCTCTTGCCCGTGACCCGTAGCTTTGACCGGACCTGCCGATCGATGTCGGACGAAGCCCTGATACTGTGTCTGGTCCTGCCTCTAAATTTAACTGCACCCTCTGACTCCCACGTTGAACCAAATCCGTGTAAACCACTGAAGTCGAGCACCCTCCGCCCTCCTGTGCATCCACTGGGGAAGAAACGGAGCGAGAGAAACTGAATAAGTCAGCATTTGCGAATCTTATAATTGCAGGTAGCTGAGCGAAGTACAAGTGAAATTTTAAAAAGATAAACAGAAAAGTGCAAAGACATTTTTGTCTCATAGGCTAGAACACAATTGTAGACAGTCAAATGAGGAGATTGGAGGAATTTTGCTGTGTAATCATGTTTTTGTAGTCTTTTTTTTTTATTTGCAAAGAAGTGATTCTGTGCTCCTGTCTGCAGGTGATGTCACCCAGCTAGTGCCTATAATGACCTGTAATAACCTTGACAAAGCTTTCAGTCCAGGTCATGGTCCAGGTTCAAACCTTTGTTTACTCCCTCAGTGACATCTCCGTTCTGTCCGCTTCCCTAGCTCAGAGCATGTAGGACGCCTGGACTATAATTAAAGACATTCCAGGCTTAACCTTAGCCCTCAGCCCCTGAAGCTTCACCCTAACATTTCACAATCATTATAGGATATTTCCAGCCGCCTCTTCACGCCTCTCACACACACACACATAACCCATCCCTCCAAGGCATTGTTGCTCGGGCCTCAAGTGTGCATTGGGCAAGTGCAGGGGACATCTCTGCATAAAATCATTGGCACTTCTATTTACAGGAAGTGTGAGAGAGCATGAGCATATGTGTGCTGAAGAGGCTGAGGTGGTGTTGTTGAGTCGAGTGTGAATTATGCAGTGTGCCAACTGTATGTGTGAGGAGATGTGAGCAGATGGTTAGACAGACCGACTGACAGGAAGAAGAGGAGAATGTGTGTGTTTGCAGTGAGGGTGCGAAAGCGTTTCATTGTATTAGGTTCTGGTTTTTGAAATCAAAAAATCAATCAGTAGCAGCGTGATCAAAGCACAACCCTCTGGAGTCCACTGTGGACTCACTGAGGTTGATCTGTCCAACTTTTGTCTTTGTTTAGAACCTTACCTCACATGCATAGTTTCCTTTTTTTGGCAGAAATTCAGTCTGACTCATCATTTCTTATTAAACACACAAATACAGCAGAGGAATATAAAAAAAAATCTAGAATATATTCTATTTACTGGTAAAGTGATTTTATCCCAACTATTTTTATGCCTTTTCATTGAAAGTCTATTTATCCACTGATGAAAACCTATTGTAACGCAACGTGCCGTGTTTTTGTTTGCTTTCTGCCTTCATTTTCTCTGCTGACAGCCAATAACTTTGATCGTGTCATCAGTGAATCATGTCTGAAATGAAATAACACAGTGCCTCTTAAAGGAGGATAATTTCTGTTTGTTTTAGGCGATAATTGCTCGAGTCTTTAGCCTCAGGAGAGCTGCAAAGCGTGCAACCGCTGCACATAAATACTGTATCAGCACCTGCCACTCCTGATGAATTGAACTGGAGTCAACATGGATCACAATTCATCAGTAGTTTTGTTTATGAAGCGTGTAATATTGCATAGAAATATCTTTCATCCCCCCTGGAGATAAAATCAGAATTACTTTTGTCTCATATTGTACCTCTTGTATGTGACTTAAAGCCCTAACTGCTTAAACTTTTTGTGTTTTTTTTTTTTTTGTTTTGTTTTTTTTTGTTTTGTTTTTTTTTTTCCTTTCCAATCCAGTAAGGGAGAGCTAGAGGTGTCAACAAGTGTAGGTACACTGAGATAAAGAGAGACAGGTAACTGGACTGTGCTGGTTGTGTTGGAGTGCTCTCTGTTCCTTTCTGTAGCACAAGTCAGATGTTCCTTTCATAAACAGCGTCTCAGTTTAGTTAATTTTTAAAAAAAGATTTGCTTTAGTCAACAGTTGATAACAAACAGCACAAGAGGTTGGCACCAAAGTCACAGAGTGTGTTGGTGTGGCTTCAGCATGTGTTTGACTTTGAGCACGGCATGGCATGTTCATATTTGGATTATTTTGGCAGAACGTGTGTCATATATCAGGGTTTGCAGAACTTTGTGAACCTACTGTTGACTTGTTTAAATTTCTATTTACTGAGGAATTCTCAGATATAAACCTTTTTTAAATGGTAAGAATTAGATGTGTTTGCAAATAAAGGCTTCTTGTTTCCAAGGCATGATTTTCAAGGTCAGTTTCACTGTGAATTTGCCAACAGGGGGATGTGTATCACTTAAGGGGTTAGTTCATGTAGATTACAAAAAAAAGAATATTTTTCCACTTACTAGCGAGATCTCCGCAGATAGCTTCAGTTTTTGTGCCAATGTTTTCAGATACCTGCCTCTGAGATTTCTGGAATTTAGTTTGTGGCATTGAAAGCAATTGAAAAACTACGCTGGAAAAACTGAACTGCTTCCTATCAAAAAAATAGTCCCAATGAGAATTGGTGTGGCAGCAGAAACATCAGAGACATTCATCTGCAAAACTTGCTATCTGCATGGTTAGACACCACTAGGGTGGGAAAATGTTTCTCCTCTTGTAATATGGGTGAACTAAACCCTTTAAATTAATATTTCATAATTTTGGGAAATATTCTTTCCAGAGGTTGAAAAAAACTCCACCAAATAGCTCTCTTGGAGAGGTTCTTTATGTTCTTGTCTTGGCAAAAAAGCTTATAAACATATTTCCCAAAATCAAACTACTCCTTTAAGGATATTAGTTCAAATGGCCTGTATACTGCACATCTGATTAACTCCACTGGTCTTTTGTCTCCTTTCCTCTCTGCTCCTCCAGTTATAGACCCACATGGCCAGTCCTCCTTTCAGTCCCCTGCAGCCTTTTTGGCACAGGCCTCATCAGACCTACTGGTAGTTCCTCCTCTACGGCGGAGAAAAGAACGCCCCCAGGTCCTGAACCTCACTGAGGCGGAGATGGCGGGTGTCCTGCGGCCCAAACCGGGGCGCCTGGACAGCCCCAGCAACCGCTACGCTGGTGACTGGAGCGGCTGTGGTGACAGCTACTTCCCTGAAATGCTGCTGCCTCCCAGCAAAGAGGAGGCGGACTATGACGATGTGCCCTCTGAGGATACAGAGGCAGCTGAGGAGGGGGAGGAGAAGCCTGAGACAGCAGAGGAAGATACAGCGCAGAAGGTCACAAGCTCTGCGTATGATCCCACTGAGCAGGAGCAACCTCCAAGAGAGGATGTGGTGAAGGAGGAGGAAGAGGAGAAATCGGAGGAAGAGGAGGAGGAGGAGAAGCAAGGAGAGAATGATAGTTCAGGCATCGGGCAGCCATTAGACGATGAGGAGGAAGAGGAGAGGGTGTGCGATCACATCCTGCCGCCCCGGCTGCCCAAAGAGCACACCTACCAGGCCTACATGAAGATCCAGGACATCAGCCCAGTGCTTAGCAACAGAGTCAACCTGAGAGACCTGCAGGAGAGCATCGACACTCTGATAGGAAACCTGGAGAGAGAGCTCAACAAGAACAAGCTCAATGTCGGATACTGACTCCTACCACAGTCTCTCTCTCTCACACACACACACACACACACACACACACACACACACACACACACACTCTCACAAAGCCTGATGAGGTTTGGGGAAGACCTTCTTTACCGATCAAGGTGCTTCAGGATACAGCCACAGTGTTGCCATGGAGATCCTGTGAGATCACCATGGCAATGTGGCGTGCAGTGCTGCTGTAAAAACCTAAAGGATGACATGAGAAGAAACGTAATGGGGCACTTCTGACGTTTGTACCTTACCCATAGACATTCCTAATGTTTTTATTTTCCTTTTATTTTGTCGACTGTCTTACTTCATGTTGTTGTTGTTGTTGGTTTGTTTCAATCCGGTTCTGTGTTCCATGTTGTTATTGTTGCTTCTCTTCTTATTAGAAGAACCCATTGACCCCTCAGGGGTTTAAAAGGTGCCTTAATTGTGTGAAGGTGGTACGTCGATATGAAAATCCACCCTGGAATAAAATGCATCTCCTCCCCTGATCTTGATACAGTGTTGGCCACCAACAGGATGACCTCTGTGATGTAGAGTTTTTACATTGAAAAAGGCTAAATACAGTATGGTATATTTTTAGCAGGTATGAATGCACCCTGGGTGCTACGGGACTCTACTCATGCAGAGCAAAGTTACTGATAGACTGTATTTATCCATTTTTTAAACTTGACCATTTTCATACCAAAACATCCCAGTGCTTCCAGAGTTTCCCCAAGTCTTGGCAGAATCTGAGGCAGCATGTGGACGTGGGACACTTCCACATCCTTTCAGTGGTAGGAAAAAATCTGGGATACATTAGGCCTTTCAATTAAGAAGTGGTTTCCAGCAAAAATATGTAATTAAGTAATTAAATTAATAAAAAAAATGTGCAAAGACAACAAAACCATCCTGTTGATCAAGGCAGCCCCTCTGTCATTTTTGGCTGCAGAAGAAATATGTTCCGATATTTTATTGAACCCCGCTGATATTTACCAGAACATTAATCTCTTAACGCTGAATCGGAAAACTCCAGGATTTGTTTCTGAATTCATGCTTCAAGCATCTATTTTCATCTAGTTTCCAGCTTGTAACAAGCTTTTACTATTTATTGAATCAGATCTTCAAGAATTTAATATTGCTTCTCCCCCTAGCCATAGTAGATATTAAACAACCATGTTTCTGAGGTTGTGTTGAACACCTTTTGATGAGTAAACTGACCTTCACGTGTAAAATCAGTGGAGTGTTCCTTTAATTTAAACCAAGATCACAGGAGGAACTTGTGTATATTCTGTTTCAGGGTGGATTTCCTTGTTTAAGGCAGCAGAGAGCTTTTCTATTGAGGTATGAAACACTAAATGTTGTACAACAATAATGCACTTATGAGGCAGGCAGTAGTGTAGATTGTCATTATAGATCATGCAGTAAAAAATATTCTGGCTGTGGACTGAATTGAGGGAGAAACAGCCGCCACTGAAACCTCCTCTTACAGATAAATATGAAAGACCATGGGTTGAAATGTATTTTCTTTGAGCAAGATTTTCAATGTCTAGACACCATCTACAGGCATACACACGCCTGTCAGATTTGGGTACGGGATAAGGGGACTAACAGTTGTATCTCTGTTTATCTCTGTTCACAAGCGTACGGTAGAGATGTGTTTTGATTTTGAGCAGGCAACGAAAAAAAGAGAGAACACGTGTTTCATATGGCATCATGTTCAGTTTAGGCTTAAAAGAATAGTTTGACATTTTGGGAAATTTCTTTATTCACTTTTATGCCCAGAGTGATATGAGAAGATCAGTATCACTGTCATGTCTGTACGCTAAATATTAAGCAAGAGCCCAAAGACTGTCAGCTTAGCTTAGCGTAAAGACTGGAAGCAGGAGGAAACATCTAGCCTGGGACTATTACAGCTAAATTTGTAACAAAAACTTTCACTTTAATAATAAAAGTGGCTAAAATAAATATATTATTTTTCTCAATTTCTATTTTAAATAGCCCAGATGTTGTCCTCTGTCCCTGTCTTTTATTTACTTCAGTTCTTTGGTATTTTCAGTGATGATGTCATTGTTAACAAAACAGTGCCTGGCTTCAGCAACTGTTTCAGTTTACAGTTTGAAGTAACATTAGCTGCCTAATGCGAGCAGCTACTGTTACTTGCAGCAGGTATAAGCCTATCGTTAGTCACATCTCTGACTGTATGCACTGGTTAATGTTTTTTAACTATCAACCACTAGAAAACAATCTGTCTCCAGGCACCTTTAACATGTTATATCTTGTTTGTTTAATTAGTACAAAACAAAGAAAAAAAAAAGAAAGAAGTTGTGATTTTACAGGATCTTTATGCTCAGCTCAGCAAGCATCTCCTGGCTCCTGCTACATATTTACCATACAGATGTTAGAGTGGTATTGCTCTTCCCATTTAACTCTTCTCAAGAACCCGCATGTGCATTTTCCCCAAAACATCAAACTACTCCTTTAAAATCCTTCCGCTTCTCCCAGCTTTTGGCAAAACCGTGAAATAAAAACAGCCCAAATGTGAAGCACAATTTCCAGAGCAGCAGTGGGAACTGTTAGCGGTGGGCTCCAGTTAGTGCGACTTAGCTAGCTGCCTAAATCGACAAAGGACGTTTTCAGCAATCCAGGGATTCAGAATGATCAGTATTTAACCTATATGTATATGTATATAATTATATAAATGTATTCGGAGTATATTATTTTTACAGCTTCTATTTCAATGCCGTATTTAAATACTTCCGATGACCTCGTAGTGTTGACTTGTAGCAATAGTCGCTTTTCCTCCCTTCAAGCTACCTGTACACATCTTAATGTGCTGGACTAATGGTACAACTTTAGCTGTAAAATATATGATAAAATCGTGTCCTTGCAGAAAAAGTGATATTGTTATTTTTGTTATATTGTGTATATATTTGACATTGTTTCGTGTCTCTGGTGGACTAAGCTATGTTCATGTGTATTTTTTTTTTTTTTTAAGGTACTGAACGTTGCATGGTCAAAAGCTTTACTGACATAAACAAGGCTCCTTCTCATCTGCCTTTGTATTTGATATTTATGTGTAAAAAGAATATTTTGTTATGTATGCTCGTTTGTTTGTCACCCTGTACCTCCAATAGACAGATAATTGCATTGTTCAAGCTTTTCTCCAGAGGACTTAAAGGCAGACAGCGACTCAGTTTGGTGCAGTTCTGACTCAATAACTGTCCAATTAATTTCTCCATGAATCGTTTGGTCTGTGAAATTGTGTAAACTCGCAATTTGTCACAGTCACAATTCTGAGAGGCCCAATGTGACAGCCTCAAAATACTTGCTTTGTCCAACCCACAGTTCAGAAGTCAAAGATGTAGTGTACTCTCACATAAGATAAAGATAAAAATGTACTCATTCCTCAGAAGTTACAAGCTTGAACTTGTGAATTTTTACTTGAAAACATCTGCAAATATTCAATCCACATCCATCTCCACACAAACACTGCAAAATATGTCCATCTCAGATCATCCACAGTCTAAAAATCTAAATTTCAATTTCATTTTTATGTGATCCAAATCAGAATCACCTTTGATCAAATGTTATTTTCTAGGAGTTCATCCCTCAAATGCAAAAACAAGAGAAACTGAATTGACAATAAGTGAATCTGTCTTAAAGATGGACACTTGCTATTTGCATTTATACAATTTTCATCTTATTTTTGTTCCACACCCCGCCCTCCTACATGATATCTGTTAATGATCCTGCTGCTTCCTGGTGAAGCTGTGGCTGCCGCTGTCAGTCCGAGCAGCTCTGGTGAAAGTGAGTTTCAGCGGGGTTCCTTTCAAACCATCTGTCTGCCCAGGCAACACAAAAACAACCAGGGCCTCATTTAAGGAAGTCAGTGTGGAGCGTCGGCTGCTCTTTGATACCTTTTAGATCCTTCATTGAAATTGGAAGATTGTTTTTTAGATCTGAAAGCTGCCAACACACATTTCAAAGATCCAATTTGACTATGATGTTTTTACTAAGAGGCCCTCAAATTGATACTCAAAGGATGCACTGAAGCTAGTCTAGTCTTCTTTTTTTTTTTATGGATTTTGACATTAAACAAAAATTGAAACACTTAAAATAAGGACTAAATTCTAAATTCACTACTTTTTACCTGTCTTGTCCTCTTTGTCCTTTGGAGAAAAAATGCCACATGGAAAGCATCGCTAAACAAAACAGAAAATTGCTTTGTATTGATCCTGAGAAATGTATGGTCATAATAAAGTATATTATTTTACATTCACATGTAGCCTCTGTGTCTTTTTGCCAGTGATAGGAACTCCATCATTGGCTCTCGGACACTTATTGCGCTTGTTTTTTGTGATTCATTTTGCAGGACAAATTCTGATTGTGCATCCGTCTGAACAACGAAGCATTTATTTACGCAGTCAGAATTGTGGTAGTGCACAGTTAATGTCTTCTCACTCCTACACACACGTACAAGCCTGGAATTCATTCATAAAAAACTTTGTTCTTACATTTTTTTTGGCACTATCTGGTAATCTGCATGTGGCTCAGCAGTCATATCACTGTTGAAATGACTCAGTCCTGCAGCCACACTTTCCCAAACAATTCTGAAGATTGTTTTTGTTTTATTGAAAACCAGTGGGAAAAGATTATCTTAACTTCAGGAAAATTTACTCTTTTTTTTTTTGTTGTTTTTGTTGATTCATCTCTTTGCTGTGGGAGCATTGTAACCCAACCTCAGCAGAGTACAGATAAATAAGTCGGGGAATTGCCCTTGTTGGCTTGTGGGAATCTCCCAGAACGACTTTCAGCTTCAGGGACATTCCCAGGATGCAGCTGCATTTAGCCGTCCAGTAAAATCCACTGCTGGAAGGCTGCGCTTCGACTGTGGCTCCAAAAACCAACATTACCAGCAACGTTTTCTGAGATATACACAATTAACCTTTACTAAGTGTACCACAGGTAGACTCCAGAGCAGTTAGCTGTAACAGTTAAAAACAGCATTTTAATGTTATGTGTGTTTTCAGGACTGTCAAGACTTTGCCCAAGTGACTGCAGCTGAGGTGATACACATCTCTGGCAGTTAGCATGAGAAGTCAGAGCAGCCGCAGGCCTTTCAGCACTAAATGGTTTTCAGACTTGTTTGATGTCACTACTGTGGGTTCATATCATGTTTTTATGGCTCTCTTCACAGGTATGAGGAAGCTTTAGGGTACAGAATGTACACACTAAATTTACACACACCCTGCAGCCCTGTTTTATATCCCCACTGAAGTAAAAAAAAAAAAAAAAAAAGATATCTACTTGTCTTAAACCTCCATAAACATTCGGACTGGAATTTATGTGGAGACAGTCAAA